TGGATCTCCCGAACCCTGAGAACCACCCCCGCTGTTCCCAATCCTTGCCACCCATCATCAACTCAACACCCTGGTTCCTCCGACCCATTCCAGAGTATCACAACAACCTCAGGGTGACCCGCGTTCCCAAATAATCCCATCAACATATCAGCATGGCCTGATCCTTGATTGCAACCAACACCCGCCCACTCTGTCGAGCTCCGCCAAGCCCCGCCGCCGCAGCCAATGTACCCCGAAGTTCTCTGGTAGTCAGTATATAAGATGTCAAGTAGCTCTTTGTACTCTAGTCTTGATATTGCTTAACGTTACCTATGGTCTGATTGTCTCCTTCTTGTGTTTTGTGTTTCGTTTTCCTTAATCTCAGTCTCCCAGTCCTATCTCAGTCTCCCGGTCTTATCTCAGTCTCCTGGTCTTATCTTGTCTCCATTTTGTTATCATTCTCATTATTGTTTCATACCTCCACTCGAATCTACTCTTGTTTCATATTGACTCCATTTCATTTCATCTGACGCTGTCTCAGTGACTCCATCCAGCCGTTGTGCCCAAGTCTTCATCAACCTTAATGACCTCACAAACTCCGCGATTACAATTACGAACCCCGACACTCTTTCACCAGGTCCAAACCTTGCTCTTTGCTCGGTTCCAGACTCCATCAACTCCAATTGATCTCCCATCAAACCCCAGCTCCGCTCCCATTGATCACATAGCCGCCTACTCCTTTGCTTCCGCAAATCTCCCATACGGTCTTCTGCCTGAACCCTGCCAAGCCCGTCCCATTTCCTTGCAATCCAACTCCTCTGGACCTCCCTGGATCTGTCCGGATCACATCCCACTGACTATCCGCACAAGCCATCAGTGCCCAGAACACTTTCGAGTGTTCGATTGCTAGTGCAAGGGGATCACGCCCACCTAGTAAGGACTCGCCCAGTGCAGCTGAGCCCCCGAGGTCAGCGGAACCTGACATTTGCTCTGCCTTCTAAGAGGTTGAGATTTTTTGAAGAAAGGTAGATCAATGCATCTTTCTCCAGCTCTGGATCCAGTCAACAATGCAAGTTAGTAGTATGCATCTGGAAGATGCATGCCTCAATTATCACATCATGTGCAGCTGCCAAGTTCTTAAGAGCTTGGTGGGCAAATTGCTTATTCTCTGGGAACCACAGAGTCTGATCAAATCTCCCTGATCATTGACAGCATGTATCCACTGTTCAACTCAAATGGTGTCTACTTTGTTGTCTCAGATATACACATGTTAATTGCAAATTCAGTTAGGTCTATTTGACCTAGCCAGTCTTTCTGATCTACAGTGCAAAATTTGACTGACATTCCTATTGGCATGCTTGATTTGTTCATCCATCTGTCAATAGAACAAAGTAGACATTAGGAGCTATGCTTCTAACAACTTGTGTAATTCATGCCACTATTTCAACATGAACTCCAAGTCTCAGTTGCTGATGATAGAGCTCAGGAGGCCACTTGCATTTAAATCCATGACAGCTGCAAGGCTGTCATGGTAGTGTGTATATGAGTATCAAGTGCACCATGCTTGTTATATGACAGATAACTACTCATAGGTAGTTATACCCTTTAGAATCAGAGAAAGGGCTTATGAAGTCTATTTCTATTGAGTCCTATGGCTTCACTAATATGTGCAGGAAATGTAGTTTCCCTGAAGAAAGCTAATTGCTCCCTTTTGCCTGCTGACACAGTTGACAGGTGGTACAAAATGCTTGTGTGTCTGTGATTACAGTTCAGTACCAGTAATGGATATACTCCATTGTTCTCTGAGCACAAAAGTGCCTAACTACATAATGTGCTTGGTTAAGTAGTTTGGTCACTATCTCCCATTCACAAGGTATACATAGCACCTTGTGACCCATGAGATTAATAGTCCAAATCAGTTTGCACTCCAGCTTGAAGGACTTATATTTCTTTGAACAACTTATAATCTCAGCAAAGAGCTTGTATTTGCTATATAGGGATTGGACCCAATGAAGGAACTCTCTGTCAGACTGATCCTGTAGTTGTAGCATGTGGACCATCCCAAGGATGGCCTTGCCAACTGTTATATCCTTCTGACCTTCAAGACTTACCAAGCTCTGATAGACTTGGAGTGATCAAGCTATGCCATCATTAATGTTGGCAAGCATCTGGGTTTCTGCATCACAAAGTTTGTGATGATCCTGCACTCACTGGCTTTTGTGGCTTAGTCTGTCACAGAGAGTGCAAATCTGACTCAGCTAGGCCTGCATTTTCTGCAGACAGAGGCAAAGATGTAGTGCATGTTCTGAGGAGAATCACTCTCAAAGTAGTGGGATAAACAGTTTGCTACCTTATTGAGTTCACCTTTAACATATTCACTGTCATTGGCAGGGAAACAAGTTCTGTTGAGTTGTAAAAAACTCAAGGACTTTGTGATCTGTAATTACATGGATCTTATATTCTAGAAGCTTATCTTTGTCAGGTTCCACTGACTATGGAGGCTTAGCTACACTGAGCAAGTTCTTACTAGGTGGATGTGATATCCTGCACTTATAACCTAGTGCTCTAGAGTTGGCACAGACTAGCGGAACTTGCAAGGGGAAGCTAAGGGAAGCAGTCCAAGCAAGTCTGGAGTGGTCCAGGGAAGTCTAAAACTAAGTATATTGAATGTTGGGCTTGGGCAGGCATCAAGAACAAGTTTGTAGGCACACAAATGAATTGTGAGGTAAGCAGAGGCTTTGCAAATGATGGGAGCAGAGCCAGAGTTTGATAAGGGATCAATTAAGACTAATGGGTTCCAGAGCTGAGCAAAGAACAAGGTCTGGAGTTGTCATAGAAATGTTTGAAGGTCATAGTGCATGCATGGAGTTTGTAATGATGTCAGAAATAAAAGGGACTTGAAGAGACAAAGGAAACAGAGACAGTTAAGGCAAGATAGAGACAAGACAAGATAAAACTGAGGAAAGGAAATAGATTTGAGACTAAAAAATAGAGACAGAAACAAAAGAAACATGAGACACGAGTAACCAGTTAATGCAATATCAGGACTGGAGTATAAGGTGCTACTCTTATATACTGACTACTGGAGAGCTCCAGAGGATAGCAGATGTGGTGGTGGGGGTCAACAGAGCCATGTGGAGTCAATAGGTGTCAGTTGCAATCAGGGAGCAGGCTGTAGCAATATTCTGATGGAATCAGTTGGGGACATAGGCTGTTCTGGAGTTGTTGTAATGCTCCAGGGCTGGTCAGGCAAACTAGGGAGATGAGTTGGTGACATGCACTGGAGTTAGGAACAGTGGAAAGAGTCCCAGGGGCTCAGAAGAGTTGAGGGAAGCATTGACAGCTGTGAAGAAGGCATTGGAGTTAGCTGGGGGGGCCATTAGAGTTTGCCAAAAAAGTGTCAGAGCTACCTGCAGTGAGCGCGGAGGGTGAACAAGGGTTGGAGGAGTTTGATGGGGCATTGGGGGGCTTGGGGAAGTGAGCAGGTTGGGAACAAGGTTGGGGGTCTAGGGAGCAGGTTGTGACATCACCCCCCCTTCAGCATCAAGACCCTTGAGATGTGGAGCACTGGTCAGGGATTGGCAGGGGTGTGGAAATCGAATTATCATGGCTGCTGACAGGTGGAAGCCATGTATTGAAGTTGTGAGTGTGATTTTGCTTTTTCTGTGCTCTGGAGTTTCTGACATATTGATAGAATTATCTGCAGTGGTGGCTGGCTCATTGGGGGCTTCATCTTGTGGCAGAGTTCCAGCAGGATTGGCCCCAGCATTGGTTGGGCATTTATCAAGGCCCAATTTTGGTCTGGGGGAGAGGGCTTAGTATGGATCCTTGTGGAGATCCAATTGGGAAGGCCATCAATGATATTATTGGTAGAGTATTTAGCTCCACCCTCTCATTATTGCTACTGAATTATCAAAAAAAAAAAGGATCCAAAGGGATTTTTTTAAAGAGATTAATTCTTTTTTTATTATTAATCTCTTTATAGAAGCCCCTTTGGATGAATCCCAGGATTCATAATTTTTTTTCTTCTACTAATAACAAGAGGGATTAACAGAAGAGAAAAATCCACCAGTCCCTAGCAAAAGAGACTATGGAAAATTTACATCAAATATTAAGTATTATTTAGCTGGACTCTGGGAAGGGGATGGTCACATATGGATACCTAAAACTACTCATGCACCTAGTGGAAAAAATACACACCTTATTTTGCTATTTCATTTGCTAAATCAGATTATCCTCTAGTCCAAGAGTTAAAACTCTTAATTGGAGGTTCAATCAAGTATAAAGTGGAGATTCACATGAGGAGAGTGGATGAATTGAAGAGGGTGAAGGAAGTGGAAACTAAAGCAAAGCAAGGTTGGAGGATTATTAAGGCCTCCTATTCCTGAAAAAAAGGGGTCTAACAAAAAGGGGCACTGGCTGGTTGAATTTCAAATCCAAAAAGGCAAAGAGAATCAAATATAATTTGAAAGGTTTTAGATGTAAATATTAAGCTCTTCCCCAGAAGTATATGGCTACAAATAAAAAGAGCCACACTATGTCTACAAAGTGCAAATATAGAATACTAGCTTCAAATCCTTGATGGTGTTCTTTTGTTAATTAATAATTTATAATTCTAATAAAACCTACTAATATAAATAATGTACCAACTATTACATGGAAACCATGTAGTCCTTATGTTTGTGTAATAAAGAGTTTTGAATCTATAATTAATTGGGGTCTAAAATAATAAATAAAAAATGAAACAAAATAAAATGAAACAAAATAAAACAAAACAAAAATAAGCACCTCTCATTCCTCATTCCTCATTCAGATTTTTTATTATTTTCCTACTTAGCCCTTAGAATAAGAATAAATAGAGGGGACTCTTTCTTATTCTAAAATCAGGAGAGAAAAGAATCCCTTTTAATGATCCATTCTGAAGACCTATGGAGGGACTTTTTTTCTTAAAAGGGATCAATAAACAAACAAAAGGGGATGATGGGTGGATAAAATAAAATAAAATTTAATTTAGATATAATTGCAGGAGTAGAGGGTTTGAACCTCTGTTTGTAAAGTGTAAATTTACTGCTAAACCACTCAGCTAATGCCTTTAAATTTTATAATAATCTAACCTTGTCTGATAAGGGAAAAGAAGAATCCCTTTTTTTTGTAGAACTCCTTTTTAAATCAAAGATTAAAGATTAAAAAAAAGAGCCCCTTATAGCCTACAGTTTTTGGAATCAAAACCCTCTTAGGATTATAGGATTTTAGGATTCTAGGATTCTTCTTTTTTGTAAGGACTTACAAGAAAGAAGGTATAGGTAATGGAACCCCCTCTTCATAGACTGTAGGGGTCTATGAAAAAAAAGTAGCCATCTGGATTTTTGATTGTAGAATAAGAAAGAGTCCAGTTCTAGAATAGAGAGAGGGGCAATGGCTATAATTCTAAAAAGCAGGAGGACAAAGAGGACAAAAAAATTAATCTGTACAGTTGGGGGGTTAATTATAAATTATTTATTTTCCAGTGGCACTTTCAGTACAGCTACCTTGCTATTGTCATGACCTATTCCCTGGACCCCCACACATCGTCCAATGACCCCCTGCCCCCCCAGAACCTCCCCCAATGCCTCACCAAACTTCCACAGTGCTCCGCGCCTACTCCAGCTAACTCTGACACATTTTTGGCTAACTCCAATGGCCCCCTGGCCAACTCCAATGTCTTCCTCACAGTCAGCAATGCTTTTCCTGGATCTCCTGAGCCCCTAGGACCATTCCCCTGCCATACCTGACCCCATTACATGTCATCAGCTCGACACCCTGGTTCCTCCAACTTACTTTGAAGTATCACGACGACCTCAGAATGGCCTGCATCACCAATTGATCCCATCAACATATCAATGCAGCCTGCCCTCCAATTGTAACTGACACCCATCAACTCTGTCAAGCTCTGCCAAGCCCCGCTGCCACAGCCAATGTCCCCCGGAGCTCTCTAGTAGTTAGTATATAAGACGTAGAGTAGCTTTTTGTACTCTAGTCTTGATATTGCTTAACATTACCTATGGTCTGATTGTTTCTCTCCCATGTTTCATGCCCATGTCCCATTCTCCTACTCTCAGTCTCCTGGTCTTGTCCTGTCTCTATTCCATTATTGTTTTTGTTATTGTTTTGTATCTCCACCTGAATCTATTCTCATTCTCATCTCAACCTCATCTTGAATCTGTCTCATTTTGTTTGACTCTGTCTCATCTCGTTTGATCTGTCTATTATGTTCCTATCTCTTCCAATCTTTAACATCTTCACAAACCCTGCAACTACAATTACAAATCCCTGACACTCTTTAACCAACTCCAGACCTTGCTGCATGCTCAGCTCTGAACTCTATCCACCTCTGTCAATCTCCCATCAAACTCCAGCTCCGTTTCCATCACTCACATAGCCTCCAACTCCTCTGCACCCACAATACTTGCATACAGACTTATGCCTGAACCCCACCAAGCCCATCCCCCTTCCCACAGCTCACCCCATACTTCTCTGGACATCCCCGGACTTGCTCAGATCAATCTCCACCAACTATCCTCACAAGTCCCCAGTGTTTTGGAACACCTCTGCATGCCCAGTTGTCAGTGCAGGGAATCATGTCTGCCTGGTAAGGACTCACCCAGTGTAGCTGAGCCCCCATGGTCAGCAGAACCTGACATAATATCAAGACTATACCTTACTCCATTTGTGATGTCCATGCCAGCTCTGCACACACATTTGCCAAACACTTCTGATGTCTATAGTCAACCCATGCCTGGAAATCCTTATGATTCCTATGGCCCTGCCCAATTTGCCAAGGCACATTGAGTCATGGACCTAACACCAAACATCCCTTCCGCTCTGGTTACACCCATACAATGGCTCTCTCCATGGACACCCTCCCCACCCATGCCCAACCCTACACCACTCCCACAGACCACCTTCCACCCTTCCCCCACCCTCTCTGCCAGCTCTGCTCCCCCACAAAGGTCTACCCCAACGTCACCAAAAGCAGCATGCTAAACCCTGGCAATAATTTGACCCAATGACCAACAAACCTCCCTGGCACTGCACTCCCACCCCCCCAACCACAATAACACAAACCTGCTGCAAAAAATCACCCGTTGCATGAAGAAGATCGCCAAACCCACCAGAACAATGATGAGACCACTGAGAACACGCTTCCCCAAAGCCTGCCCTTGGGTCCACCAACCCACAGGCAACTCCACAAGCTGTTAGAACAAATCCAGCAAGTCTCTGACAGCATTGTAACCCAATAGCAGGACCCCACTACCATGCCAGCAGACCATCCAACACTCACCCACACCCACCCCCAAGAAATTCCGCCCTCACACACTAGCTCTGCTATCATTGAAATCAAGCTCAAGCCAGTAACCCCACCAACAACAGAGCAAGATCTCGAGACCAACACTATGCCCAACCCCAGAAACCACCTCCAGAGTCAGTTAGGACCCCTTGGTTGACTCAGCTGTTACCTCCGCCCAATAATTGGAAGGACCCTGATGCCTCCAACACCTCCAGAACAAGACCGAGGAATTCCCAAGCCCCAAGGTGGCCAAGAAAGGAAGGAACTTGCACCTCCACCCACTAACTTAAGAATGCACTCTGGAAGCACCCTCTTGACCTCCACAAAAGCCACCCGGATGAATCATGATGCCCCGACTCACAACAAGGGACCACTCTAGGCACCCCTGCAACTACTCTGGAACCCTCACCCACTATGTTGACAACTTCCTCCATTCAATCTGGAACCTCCAACATTAAAAAAAAAAACACTTGATGGTGACCCCCTCTGCACATCACCATCAGACAAGAACTTCGCCACCAAACTATGCCACCTCCAGCAAAAGAAACCCCAGTATTGGAGTCACCCTGACAGAATGCTTCCCCAACAAGAGAATCAACCCCCCAAGTAGTTTTTCCCTAAATTCTGCAACACCCCCAGCAAAATCTAACCATGCTGATGGAGACACCCAGAATAATGAAGTGGCCCCTCTGACTCTGCCCCAATGATCAAGGAACCACTGATGCCTTCTAAAGAAGTGACACCTTTTCCCAATCAGAATCTTAGTTGACTGCCCTAGAGTGCCAAGACCTACCCTGCCCCCATTCATAGTGACCTCCAGACTGCTCCAGAGCACAAATGTAAGAAACAACACCCTGCACTCATATAGACCAATCCCACCCTGTCCCACCAAAACCAAGAGAGCTCCACTAGTGAAGTCAACACTTCACCAACCCCTCATTGCCTCTGCTGCCAGCTCTGCCCTGGAAAAGGACAAAAGCTGCTGACTGAGGCCCCAAGCTCACCCCAAACTAACCCTGCCCTGACTTGCTGAGCATAAAAGAGCTCTGCCAGCAAGGCCAACACTCTGCCAATCCTCACACCATCCCATTACTGGCTCCACCCTGAGAAGGGACAAAAGACCACCAACCCTGGCAACTCCAACCCCTACACCGCCTTTGTACCACTGGCCCCATGCACTCTGCCAATGAACCAGTAACCCTTAGGCCCTCAATACAGTCCCCTGGCACAGCTCCACCAAAAGAACCACCTACTCCAAGAGGAATAACCCATGGGACAACAGCCCCCAAAACTCCTCCTTGCTCTAGAGCCCCTCTACTAGGACAAGATAGTTACCAACCAAACTCTATGCTGCCTCCGCCAAAAGAGGCCTCTACCAATTTGACCCAGGCAGCACCTCAAGTTCTAGAAAATGACAGAACTACATAAGACTTCTCTAACTATCTCTGGACTTACCCTTGGTCAGGAATGGAGAGCAAGGTCATGTGAATGGCCTAGAACTCATAAACCTCAACTCTGGACCAGAAGAAACTCGTTGAGACTGGCCACCCCAAACTCTGCCCCCTCATCAATGACACTCTGGAGCACACCAAAACACCACCCAAGCACACCCATCTCTAAACACAATACTCCAGAGCGTGACTTCAACCAGAGCCAACACTCCAGAGTGCAGCAAGGCCCAAACCCAGTACACCTCTGACAAAATACAATACTCTGGAGCTCGACAAATCCCCACTATGTGCAAACCCACTAAAACACAAAGCCTGGACACCAACAACCAAAGGATGGCAACACCCACTCTAAAGGAGTACCTCTGCACCCACACTAATCTAACCTACAGCATAGCTGGCCTGTGGAACAGGCCCCCGACGAATTATTACAAGGACCACCTCACACTGGGACCATGCCTCTATGCTGCCAAGGGTCAAACTACCAGAAGGCCTCCGCCCCTCTACAAGCCACACCAACAGAAAAAACAAAACTGCCAGCCACCATCAAGCGCACTCCAAAGATTCAGAGGTCTGCCCCCCCCTAACCAGCACAATGCTCGATCCCACCATAGATAGAGGACAGCCCCTACAACTTGGGTCCAAAACTCTGAGAGCTAAGCTCAACAATGCTGCTATCAACACCTCAAAGTGCAATGGAACCCTGCAGGAGGACCCTCCACACTCTGTTGAGCCTTGGAACTCCCTCCCACAATACTCTGCCAAGTCCCACAATAATCCTGGGACTAGCCAACACAGATAACAAACAAGGGGCTTAACCCCTGCCTCTGAACTTACTAGGGATTCAACTCCCACCCGCACTCCTGCATGTTTTTACTTACCCTCACACACACTAAAGCTCACTACACGCACCCAGGAGCATTGACCAAAATTGAATTAACCACAATATAATACAACAAAAGGGGGTAGGTGATGGAGCACAGAGCAACAAGAGGATGGAGTCCAACTGCTCCCTCAACCCCTCCCCCCCTTGGGAAACCCCCTCCCTTCCTCTCCGATCCCCAAATCAATCTCCATTTTGTCAGGTTCCGCTGACCCCGGGGGCTCAGCTGCACTGGGCGAGTCCTTACTAGGCGGGTGTGATTCCCCTGCATTGGTAACTGAACACTCAAAGACGTTCCGGGTCCGGGTGGGTTGCGCGGGTAGTTGGGGAGATGTGATCCAGACAGGTCCGGGAAGGTCCGGAGAAGTCGGATTGTGGGGAAACGAGACGGTCTTGGCGGGGTTCAGGCAGAAGGCCGTACGGGAGATTTGC